GAAGTTGGGTTCGGCTTCGACCACACCATCGAGGATTGCCTGAACCGTATTCTTCCCACCCTCGTGGACGTCATCGACGAGCAACTTCCGGTAGACGATTGGATCATCAACGGGCGTCCATCATTTTCTCCAAATCCGATTTCTTCCCCGGCAACTAGTCCTCTCGGGATCACCTGTCCACTAGGGGCGTCGCTAAGTCTACTTACAATCCTCCTCCGCTAGCCACCACTTTCAAAACGAGTGAAGGACTTCAAGGTGAATGATCTAGATTTTAAATTTGAGGCTTTGTTATAATTGGCTATTTGCATTACCTAAATCTTTGGTTATTATTTTGCAAGTTCTAGTAATCTCAACGTGTAATCTATTGCTATTGCTTAATCTTTCAACGCCATATTCTTAAACTTTAACTTGAGCAAACAAAGAGTTATTTGGTAGCAAAGTAAAGTTCATCACTTCTATTAATATCTTAACTGCAATTCTTGTTTCCATGCATTATGTATCACATCACTAGGTTAGAGTAGTTTCCATAGTATTGGTGCATCTTTTGTTGCATCAAACCCTCTTCCCATTTCTTGGCCCCAGGTCTTACACCATTAATGCATACCCTAAATGGACTATGGCAACAATCATGAGCAATAGCTTTAAATATCATTTAATCTTCCTATAACAATCACTTCTCTCTTCCAACCCCAATCCCCCAAAAAAAATCAATATCAAGCATGACCTATATGAGGTTTTACAACCTACCTATGAAGTATATTCACGTACCATATGGTACATACTTGCCAGAACAGTAAAAATAATTTTTGATTTGAGAGCCCAATTCCCACACCTTGTATTTTCATTAAAACTGAAGAGCACATGCAGAAGAATTTAGAATGCACAATAGATCACGACCACACATTATCATGCATTTTTAGTCAATTTTTGCCAGTAAAAAAGTAATATAACACATCAATATTGTACAAGTTCCCACTAAAAGCAATAATATGATGGTTAAATCATTGTCACCTACTAAATTATATTGGGAACGAATAAATATCTAGCATTACATATTAGGTACAAACGAAAGAATATTTCGTCCAAAAAGATACCTGTAATTCTAGGAGCTTTTCCTTTCTCTCAGAAAAGGGTGAATTCTGAAGGAGCTCTAAAGGATAGTGAACCTACAAGAAACATATAGCATAAAAATCTTGAATGGCATGGCATAAATAACGAATCACAATGCTATAAAGAAATGCAAATGCACTAGCTAATTGAAAGGCAAGCAGATATGAACCCTGTATTTTAGAAAAGAAATATAAGGGCGTCTTACCATGAGATAATCACTCGGATTAATGTCAATGATAAAACCATAGAGGTATAAGAGTTCCTACAAACCAAAAAAAAGCATGTCATTGAAGGAAGATCAGATCAGTCAAGTCTTGAAAAGAAGTTGCTGACGTGAGATACAATAGCTAGTAGTCAGAACTGCTGAAAAAAGGTTCCCAAAGCTTGAGGTCACCTTCCATTATGGTCCACAAGTTTCAAATACAGAGCTTAGAGGTTAACTACATACAATATTTTACATATATCCATAATCAATTTTCCAAGACCATTACTGAGCCATTGGAAGGGGAAACCATCATAATTTTTTCAGTAAAACCCATCGCATGCTACCTTATTTTACCATATTTTACTATAAAAAAATTATTTTAATAATTTTTAATTTGCTACATAATCTTTAAAATTATTAAAATATGATAAATAAGAGAAAAATTAGATTTTGCTTTTAAAAAAATATTTTTTTCTTCATTATTTATTCATTCTTATTATGTACTAGATTAACTATATACTATAATTTATTAAATAATAAAATAGAACAATATAAGCAATCTAATATCATATTTCACTAATTCACATGCAATATCTAAAATACCCTTCATATTTAACTTTAGAGTTAACTTTAACTCTTATTTTAGGCTCTGGGACTAAATTAACTCTATTTCTAATAGTCGAGGGGCTAAAATGAGGCAATGTAAAACTCTAGGACTAAATTAAACATTTATTAATAGTCAGGGGACTATTTAGAGCTTTTACTCTATACTTAAATATAAATTTTAAAGTTAGTAGACTGACAAACTAGGATTTAAAACTTGCACCGTAAAGTGCAAGGTGACCTAAACCTTTGGGCCTTCAAGAAATTACCCAAAAGGGCCACAACAGGAAAAGCCTCATTTAATTCATAATTATATCCTTTGCGAGTATTTCCTACTGGAAGGTATCAAAGACAATGGATATTCTAAATATTTTCTCTAGATGTAACAGGATGACAACATGAGTGTGAAACTTGTATTTATTATTTGAAGAAAACATAAAAGTATCAAAGTTTGTCCTTCTCATTAAAATCTGAAATTTCTGATCTTGATTCTGAACTAATTTAGAACTAAGTAGGGTGAGACCAATAGCTAATAAGCTAAACCAAAGAGTTCAAGGAGAAAGCTGGGGTAAACACAATATTTAATCTTCTACTGATACGTGGAATTAAGATAAATAACAACATATAGAACGAGTGTTCATTGCTAAGCAGACAAGAATGGAAAGCACCTCATTTCCTTTATTTCCGTAACTAATACAGATCTCCTTATCAATTTCCATACTAACTGGATCAGCTGTTGATAGACAAAAAAAGGAGAAAATTGGAAATAATAATAATGATAATAATAAACTACTTAAATTACTTTAAAAAAAGTCAAGTATTAAGTTTTTTCTTTTGATAATTTTATGGTGAAGAAGAACAGAAAGACATGTTAATAGATAAATTTTTGTAAAGTGTCATAATTTTTCCTTTATTAGTTATGATGTCTTTCCAGTTAAAGTTCGAAATACCTATACTGAATCTCTTCAACATATCAATAGATTCAATACCACAAACTAACTGCATGTAACAACTTTAAGTCTTGGCCAGCATACATAAGTAAACCCCAATAACAAAGTCACCCAAACATGAAATAAACAGATGCCCAAAATTGAACATGACTTGCTCAAAGCATAAAAGAATGTTTCAATCAAACAACTTTTAAATCCATGTAGAAAATGTTGATCCCAAATCTTTGCACAAAATCTAGCTTTCTATTCTATTATGAAGCATATACACTTCAAAAAAGTCATGTCTACGCCATGCAAGACTCAAACATGCTCCAAATACAAATGCTCCATAAACAATAATAGCTTACCTAATCAGCAACAATGATAGCAAACTTCCAACTTAGTGGATGGAAAAAAAATAGAGAACTAGTTTCATGTTGAAATAGGGAATTGGATACGATTGAATTTGGGAGTCCAAGAGTTACATTGAACAATTTCCAGCACAAAATCAAAACCTAATGAGGTAAGC